CCCTGCTAGGTCTAGTTTGCATCATTTCCAGCCTTATCTGCTTGTTTCCTGGGACTGCTCTTGCTCTAGAAGCAATTTCCCAACCCTTGTTGAGCACTCACACTGGTTTCCGCACTTCAGTTGATTGCTCCATGCCTCCCTCACGTAGCACCATCCAGGAGAACAGAGAGCTTAGACTCATTTGCTCTTTATAAACTTTGCTGGGTGGAGAACACCCAGCTCTTAGAACTGAACTCCCCACAGCCAGGATAGGCCCTGGGTTTTGGACAAAGGAATAGATCCATTTCTGGGGAGGCTCAGGTTCTGGGAGCTAGGAGAGGAAAGAGATCAAGGGCCAGGGGGTCAGTGGTGGGTCCACGCTTCGGGGGAACCTTCATTCACAGTCCATCTTGTTGCCATTTCTGTTTACAATATCTGTTAAGTAACTTCATGAAGCCTGTTGCCCACCTCCTCCCATTCCTGGATGTGTGAGAGTCCCATTCAAGGATGTGGAAGTAAAGTGGGCTTTAGACTGGGCCTATGGCTATGTGGCTTGCTTTTCCGAATTTGGTCTGGGTAGAGGGGAAATCAATGTTCCCTAACCTCCCACTTACTGTCCAAGCTGACATTGGGTGACTCTCCTGTGGGCTGAGGCACAGCTGACCTCTTTCCTTCATTTCTCTTTTCAACTGTACCAGATCGGACATATCTTTGATTTCCAGGCTTGAATGAAGGTGAAACAGACCCAAAACAAAAACATGCAGTTCAGACCTACAATCGTAGGCTTTTATTTTTTATTTTTTTGTACATATGCAATTTGCAGCTAATGCAGAAATGCCCAAAATAAAAGTCTATTCTTTCAAACTCTCTATTTTTAGTTCTCTCTTCTGGAGGCTACTTTGAGGGAGGGAGCAGCCTCTAGCACCACTCCCACTCCCGGGAGCCCCACCCAGGGGCTATTTTAGGGTGAGTATGGGTGTGGGTGAGGGTGAGGGTGTGCACTAGGAGAGGAGAGGACAGTGGAGAGTGGAGGAGACATTCTCCATCCTATCGCTTACTGGTACATGAAGGCCATAGCTTCAGGATTTATTTTATTCTTAGTTACGTGTGTCTGTATGTGCATATGCATGAGTAAAAAGAGGGTGTTGGACCCCCTGTGAGCTGTGGATGTGGGAGCTTGGAACTGAACTCCAGTCTTCTGCAAGAGCAGCAAGAGCTCTGAACCTCCGAGCCATCTTTCCAGCCCCAACTTTGGGACTTAAAAGCCCACATTTACAGTCTTTTTCTTTGGCTCCATCATGATAATTCTCTGGGCCTAATGACCAGCCTCCCAATTCTCCAATTCTCTACTGGAATGTAAGAAAAGGTTGCAAACTATGAAGAGGAGAGGGGACTGTCCGTGGGCAAGGTCATATGCACATTTAAAATGTTTTATTACATTTATTTGTATTTAGTGTGTGTGTGTGTGTGTGTGTGTGTGAGTGTACACAAGCCATGGTGAGCATATGGAGGTCAGAGGACAACTTGTAGGAGTTGGTTCTCTCTGTCCACTGTATAGGATATAGATTTGAATTCAGGTCATTAGTCCTGACAGCAAATTCCTTTATCCATTGAACTATCTCGCTGGTCCCCACATGCACATTTTTAATAATAACGTTGGGACTGGGGAGATGGCTCAGTCAGTGGGTAAGAGCGCTTGCTATGCATGCATGAGGACTTAAGATCAAATCCTCAGAACCTACATAAAAAGCCAGCCATGGTCACATACCTATAACCTGAGCCCTGTTGGGAGGCACAGACAGGAGAATATCTGGGGCTTGCTGGAAGTCTGTCTAATTCCAGGTTCAGTGAGAGACCCTCTCAGAAGAATAAAGTTAAGCTGGGCGTGATGGCACATACCTTTAATACCAGCACTTGGGAGGCAGAGGCAAGCGGATCTTTGTGAGTTTGAGGCCAGCCTGGTCTACATAGTGAGTTCCAGGACAGCTGGCCCTTTTCAAAAAAAAAAAAAAAAAAAAAAAAAAAAAAAGAATAAGGTGGAGCATGTTAGAGGAGGAGAGCTGACATCCTCCTCTGGCGTCTGCATATGTGCAAGGGTACACGCACCTGCACATACATGTGCATACATACCACACATGGACATCACATCATGGATATCACATTCACAAGTATAAACTTACACACATTAATTTAATTTCTTATCATTATTTTAGTTAATTTAAGCAGGCTCTTGTGTAACCCATAATGGCCTTGAACTCACAATGTAGCCAAGGGTAAGCTTAAGCTTCTGATCTTCCTGCCTTCATCTCCCAGGTGCTGGTATTACAAATGTGTGCCACCATACCCTGTTTACCACATACATTTTGTTTGCTGTGAAGGTGCTCTTCTGTTTTCTATCACTCTATCTAGTGTACTCCTGATTATCAATGGATGTGCCATGCTGAGCAAAGGGTAACAGCTCACTTGGTACAGGCTAGAACTCAGGGCAGAAGACCTGAAGGTCTTTTGTGCCCTCAGCATCCTGCAGATGTGTGCAGTGGAACAGAGATGTGCTGTGAGGATTCCATCTCCTGTTAATCTGACTTTCCCTTTCCTTTTTCTCTCTGTTCCATCTTCTTTCTTCCTCTCTCCTTTATTCCTTCTCTCTCTCTCTCTCTCTCTCTCTCTCTCTCTCTCTCTTCTCTTTGAAAGTATAATTTACATATGGTAACAGACACACATATTAAAGGTATAGCTCAGTGTATACACCCTGTTGCCACCACCAGTATGTGATATGTGTGTGATGTATGTGTCTGTGACTGTGGGCATGCACATATCATGGTACATGTGTGGAGGTCAGAAGACAATCCTCAGGATCAAAATCAGTGCGCAGGCCCAACAGCAATTACCTTTGCCCACTGAGCTACCTCACAAGCCCTATTGCTTGTTTTGAGACAGGGTCTTTCTATGTAGCACAGGTTGGCTTCAAACTGATTATTCTTCTCCTTCATCCTCTCGAGTGCTGGGATTACATGTGAACCACCATTCCAGGCTTAACCATGGTCTTTGAAAGAAGAGATTTTCCTCTACCAGTTTTAGGCTTTTCCATGGTATCAGGGCCATGGGTCCTTTCAAAGCCAATTTATCCAGGAGCTTCACTCTGAAAGATGCTCATTGTCAGCTCTGGAAATTGGAATGACCTTCCGATTTGGAGGACATGTGGAATCAAGTGGCATTTCACTTCCAGAAAGCTGTTCCATCCAAATATGTCAATGTGCAAGTTCATTGCCACAGGCACACAAGTGTGCCAGTAATGCTCATAAAAGTTAAGACTGTGTGATCTCCAATAATTAAATAAAGTATGGTTGTATGGTAGAGAAACAGAATGTGGTCTGCAGGTGCTGATATGAAAAGATGGCCAAGCTATTGCATGACCTGAAGAAGAACTGGAGGTCCTCTGGGGACTAGCTCAGGGCGGGAGTGCATGATGTGCTTCTATTTCTTGGAATCTTGGAGGACCTGTCTTCTCTTCACCTTCTCTGGGCATCTCTCCCCTTAGTCAATGGTCTCCATTGTTGCCCTGGTCTCCATTGTTCTCGGTCTTCCCCAGTCCAGTGGCAAATATGTTGAGCTTCCTCCTTGGCTGCTGGTCAATGCGCAAATATGCTGAGAAGGAAGGACTCTGAGAGGCGTAGCCAACTGGCACACCCATTCCTGCAGCTGGAAGTTCCAAGTCCATCACCACACACACAGATGAGATAATGGTGCTGATGTTATGGGTGGTTAGCCTGGACTTGCCAAATCTCGTTGGGGAGCTAACTGAGTATTTATTTGTTCTTCAGTTAAAACAAGATCTTTTCAGTGGGAAATTAGAGTGTCCTTTTGATACGGCAGCGCAATTGGCAGTTTATAATCTGCAGACTGATTTGGCAACTATGATCTTGCTGAACACAGTCCTGAATTTGTCTCTGAGTTCAGGTGTGTGCCCGTTCAGACTGAAATATGGAACTGGCTATTTTTGAGACATGGAAGGAATGTAGAGGTCAGATACCAGCACGAGCTGAAACCAATTATCTTCTTTTTCTTAACCTCATGATATTTTACTTTATTTAAAAATTTTTTTATTAGCATTACTTTCTTTAAAAAAAATAACATGATTACCTTGAAAAACTTTGTATGTTTTGGAAAATTTGGAAAGGGAACGCACAACAAACTCATATTACAGCAACAGTGACACATTTCACATTATCGTTGAAACTTGGTAGCACAGTTTTGTCAGTAAGTACTATTTCAAAATTAGACAGAGAATTGTGGATATACATTCTAAAATACTAAATAAATATTACATATTTTTAGTTTGAGAATTATTATCAGTTTTGTTATTACAGTACTTTCTTTTTTTAACTTCCCAGACTGTGATTTTTAAAGAATTTTTTTAAATTGAATTTTTGTGTATTTCATACATAAAATCATCTTTATACCCCCTTCCCCTTTGGCACCCTTCCATAGACCCCCCTCCCCTGCACTGGACTTCATACATTCTGTCATTTGTATTAAGGCCTATTATGTAAAGTTAGTGTCCCGAGCTATCCCTCAGTGCAAGTTCACCCACCAGGGTTTAGTCAGCCATCTAGAGCCTCTCCCTTCAAGAAAATCAGCTCTTCCTCACAGCTGCCAATAATTCTTCAACTGAGATTGGGGCTTGCTAGTCATTTCTTCAGTTCTATGCTGGGTTTTTGTCTGCCTGAGGGTCTCGTGGATGCTGACACCATTGCTGTGGGTTTGTATGAGGAAACCAATTATCTTAATAAAAGCAAATGGCTAGAAATGTATCGAGTTGATATGCATGCGGTCAAGGCTAGAGATGGGAAGGACTATAGTTTGGGCCTAACCCCAACGGGAGTTCTTGTTTTTGAAGGAGAGACCAAAGTTGGCCTTTTGTTGTTGTTGTTCAAGATAACTAGATTGGTTTTTAAGAAAAATAAATTAACCTTAGTTGTTGTGGATGATGATGCTGATCAGGGCAAGGAGCAAGAACATACCTTTGTCTTTAGACTGGATCATGCAAAAGGCTGCAAACACGGAAATTTGCTGTGGAACATCATGCCTTCTTCTACTCCAAGGATCTGCCCAAAAGAGTTCTTATCGTTCAGGATTTATTTGATGAGAATCACAACTTAGATACAGTGGAAAAACAGTATTAGACCAAAACTAATAAAGCAAGATCAATATTCTTTGAAAAAAGGCTCAGCAAATAACACTCGATGAATTCTACAAATGAAAGCAAAACAATAAGAACCGGAAGAACCTAGCATTCACAATAATATTCTAACCCGGAGTAATGACTCCCAACAGGCTTGGGGGTGAGGTCTCCCATGCCTGTGATTCCTTCCTCATCCTCTGATCCTGGGCTGGTGAAGAGTCTTCCACAGAATTCTGCAACAGACCAACATGACAAGAAATGGCTTTCTGCTACCAATCAATGACCATTGTCAACATGGTGAAAGCCAGTAGAACACAAGGGCCTTGCCCCCACCTCAGACTGCACATAGACACCACATGGACTTTGCAGATGAGCACACTGTAAAGAAAGCAGGAGTCCATCATGATGGTCATTTTTCTGGCCATGCAGCCGTAACTGAAATATAAACTGTTAGGCCTTTCAGGCCTTGGAACACTCTCATCCAGGTTGATGACCTGTTTTCTGGTGTTTATAAAGGATTGACTGCATTAGGGGTCATGAGTTACAAAGTACTGTTTGTGACTGACTTCTGTGGAAGGGAAGAGGATCTGATGAAGCTGTCACTGACAGTGACAGATGTTGCTGTGTTGAAAGGGTATGTCTTCCATGGGAAGGGTTTTCATGAATTTACCATTTTACTACATCACTCAGAATATCTCTTGGGAGTTTTGTGTTTGTGACAAACTGCCGCTGATCATCCTACTACATGCCATCTAAATAGATTGAGGTTTAAAGGATGACATAAAGAGCACACCCAAAAGGAAGTCATGGTGTATCTGCCTTTTTGATATTATGGTAGTACTATCATATGCTATTTTCATTTCTAAAGTGACTCAAGTTTTAATTTCAGCTAAGTGCCTGAGGTCTTAATTAATAAAAAATTTCAATATACTCTTACTTTTTAATAAGTATATTGTTACCACACACATACACAAAGAATTGAATAACCTTGTGTTCAGATAATAGTAAGATTCTAGCATAGTTTTAAAAAAGGGAGACAAGCAGACAAAAACCCAGCATAGAACTGTAGAAATGGGCAGCAGGTTCCAATCTTAACTGAAGAACTATTGGCAGCTGATTAAAGGGCGGGACCCTAGATAGGCTGACTGGACCTCAGTGGATGAACTTGCATTGAGGGACCTCTGAGGACAGTAAATTGACCTGATAGGCCTTAACACAAATGACAGAATGTATGAAATTCAGTGGTGGGGGAGGGGTTTATGAGAGGGTGCTAATGGGGAAGGGGGTATAAATGTGATTAAGATGTTGTGTATGAAATACACAAAAGTTCAGTAAAAAATTTACGAAAAAAAATAAAATAAAAAGGGAGAGATTTTTTAAAATGAACTAATACATGTGTGAAGATATCAGAATGAAACTCATTATTTTGTACACTTAATATATACTAATAAGTTTTTTAAGCAGGGTGTGTGGGGGGAGATAGAAGCAATAGCATACTGTTAACATTGGTTATCTCAGTCTTGTGGGCAGAAAACTGGGCCTTTTATTTATAGCTTTAACATTTAAAAAAAATTGGGCAATGACACTGTATTAGTTTTGAAATCAGAAAAAGACTATATAGTCACTGAACTCTATCTCCAGCCCTGCATACTAAATTTTTATTTTATTTATTTTTTTAAAAAGGAAAGAAGTCTCAAAACTCATAGAAGTAGAGAATTTTCCCTATAATTGCCTCCAGAAACTTCCCAGGTTAGGCTGGCTATAGTGCTGATCCCCAAAGGGAGAGAAAAAGTAAAGTGGGTGAAAGGTTTTCCAATAGGGGTTCAAGAGAGTCAATGAGACAAATTGTTGGAGTTAAGAAGTTTATTAAAAGGGTTATTAATGCCATGAACAAGTAGATCAACAACAGCAGAGTGGGGCCCTTAGGAGAGCGCAGGCACCAGTACCAGCCACACAGCGTGGTAGAGACTCTGAAGAGAGGAGTCAAAATCCATGTAGCAGAAGTGGGGTGGGGTCTGTTCTTATACTCTTCTGAGGATGGGGGTGCCTTCGTAGCACAAGCCTGCAGCCAGGCTCTCTGATATTCAGGTAAGAGGCAAGGAAGAGGGTGGAGAGCAGGCTCTGTGGCCCTGATACCCCTTTGTTGTAAACTCATTTCCCCAGGTGAGAAACCCTGGCACCTGGTGGTCAGTTAGCTAGAGATTTACCCATGTCTCATCTCATCTCGGTAGCTGCCTGTATGGATTGTGGCCCAAGCAGCAGCCAGGTTCTGACATTACATGCTTACAGGAGGGTGGGATGCAAAATGGAGGTCTCTACAGAGTAGAGAGGTGCTTCTTACCCTGAGGAACTGGGTGGAGCTGCTGGGGAGCCAATGAACTCCTGGAATCCCAGCTTCCTGGTGCTCCCTTTTGATTGGGGCCTTGCTTTAAAGGAAGACTACAGCTGGGACACCACTTCTAAGATCTGATGACAGAAGCCCATGCTTTTCTCCTCTCTCTCTCTCTCTCTCTCTCTCTCTCTCTCTTTCCTTTCTGATGAAGGCAGATGCTGTGTTGGGAGTAATACTCTGTGACCCAGAGGACAGTCTGTCAGCCATAGTCACAAGGAACTGAGGTCCTCAGTGCAATAACCTGTGGTCAGGCGGTACTGCCCTCCCTGGACCTTGAGAAACAAGCTCCCACCTCCCACTCTGATTGTGGCCTTGAAGAAGATCCTTAGCTGGAGAACCCAGCTTAGCTCGGCCAAATTTCTGATCCATAGCAACTAAAGAAAACAAACATGAGCCTCTAAGTATTCTTTCATTCTTTCTTTCTCTCTCTCTCTCTCTCTCTCCTCTCCTCTTCTCTCTCTCTCTCCCTCTCCCTCTCCCTCTCCCTCTCCCTCTGTCTGTCTCTGTGTGTGTAGCAGTGGATAAATAATAAAGTGGGCAAATGAATTAACCTTCTAGTCATTTGGCTGAACCTTGGGGGAAAGAAACTTACTCATTAACAACATCTGTGTGAGAGGGTCAGGTTTTTACTCCTAGGGTTTCTGAAGCTAGGAATTAGGCCTTTTTTGGGGTGGTGGAGAGGCCTCAGGACAATGCCCTGCCTTCATTGCTGAAATGTCTCATACATAAGGGCTTTTAAAATAGGAGTGCTGAACAGAGCTATTTGTGGTAGCCAGCCTCCAAGATGTCCTGGGTACCCCTGCCTCCTGGCATTCACACTCTTATGTAGTCCCTTTCCATGATGAGCCAGAGCCAAGCTGGAGGACTTATGAACATTTTAGACTGATGGCATGCGATTAAAACTGTGTCATGAAAGCACTGCAGCTTCTGCCTTGTGCTTTTGAGAGCTTTTGGGGGCGGGTAGGGTCTCACTCTGAAGCCCACACTGGCCTCAAACTCCCAGAGATCCCCTGCCTCACCCTCTCAAGTGCTGGAATTAAAGGCATGTGCCACCAGGCTCTGCTTCTTGGAGAGCTTCTTGTGGAAGCCAACTGCCCTGTCATGAGGACACTCAGGCAGCTCTGTGGAGAGGCCCACAGAACTGGGGCTTCTAGTCAATAGCCATCAAGAACCTGCCAGCCATGTGAGTGGTTTGGTATGGAAGTGGTTTGGTGACCTCAAATAAGGCTGCTGACTGTTGCCCACACTGATGTCTGCCCACAAACTCATGAGAAACTCAAAGTGAGAAATAGGAAGTAACCACCAAATTCCTGGCCTGCAAAATGGTCAGAAACAATAATTACTGTTGTTATAAGCTACTCTGTTTTAGAGTAATGTGTTATGTGATAATATTTAACAAATACTGTTTGTCATTCACAACAATCACATAAATGAATGTAAAGTATAATAATGCCTAGTGCTACACAAGCCTGTAGCTACTCCAGGGGGAAAACTTAGGTTTCTGGTGGACATGTTCTCTGTGTACCTGGTATAGGAGGGGAGGCTGAATGGTAACAGAAACAGGACTAGAGCAGACCTGCTGCATAATAGGAAGGGTTTTCAGCGGTTGGCATGCAGAAGTTGGGCGGAACTTCAGTCAGTATCACATACTGCTCTGGGAGCACCGTTTATTCTGATTGCGTGAGTGATGCCAGTTAAAGCACAACTGTGTGCAATGAACGGTGTTCCTCTGAGCTATGCTATGAAGCAGTTTTACTTTTAGTTGGTGACAAAGCTGTAAAGACCAAGGGCAAATCTTCAGGCGCTGAGTGTAACTTAGATCAGGACTAGCATGTGTGTGTGAGAACTGCCCTCTGAAAACCACACACACAACCGTTAGTAGTTACTATAGTCCACCTTCCTGCTGAGCTCCTCTGAGTCCTCCTGAGCACTCCAGAGAATCACTGTCAGGAAGAAATTTGCTGATGTATTTCCTATTCCAACAATAGCTGTAAAGGTCATTCATAAGTGCCTATACACCAGGGGCAGATGTTTTCTCTCTGGGTAGAATAAACCCTTGGATATTAAATTATATCCAAGTTAAGGAAATCTCTTGCTTTTAATTGAGGAAATTTGGAAAGTCTTCAAGCACTTGGTAGAAACTGTCGGTTAATTAACTTGATTTAATACCAACAATGAACAGGATTCTGGTTAATTATATGATTTCTGATACTGTAGTATTCCTCTGTCTTGTTCCTTTTCTGTTTGGCAAACTATCAGATAGTCTTCAAGATCCAGTGAGGTGCTTGTGTGTTCAATTTCTCCCTAACAACCACTCTTGAAGAAACAATCTCTCCAACTCTGTGTCCTTTTGTCATTATACCTTATTTCCTGTGTAATTTTAGTATGGCTGATGTGTCTGTTTCCTAGACTCTAGATCTGAAAGATGAAGAACATATCTTAAATACTTTAAGTAGTTCCTGGCATGTAACAATTGACTGATAGATTGTACTTTCACTTGTGAAATACTTTGGGGAGGGGGTTTAACTGTGTATCTTAAGAAAAACACCCTCAAGTCTTTAGAAAGGCAAACCAAGCTTCTGGACCTGGTAGTATAGGTTGTAATTCCAGCTATTTGGGAGGCTGAGGCACCAGGATGCCAAGTTCAATTTGGTGAGAGCCTGTCTGAAAATATAAAAGAGCTGGGAATATAGATCAGTAGTGATGCACTCGCTTAGTGTGCTTGAGACTCTAGGTTCAATCTGAAAAAATAAAAATACAAAAGTAACCAAACTAATGGATTAGGTGTC